ATCAGATGATACGAGAAAGAATGCCTGAGGCAGAGGGGGAGTCCCACAGCCAAAGCACAGAAGTTATCAAACCTGGTGGACCGTATGTAGGGAAAAGAGTGTAAATTCAGAAAGCACCTCAAGCTATTTCAGATACCGTACCTGAGAGGAAACGGTCAACCCCCAGGAACCTTGCAGATATGATTCCAAAGACACAGGGCAGCAGCAGTGTTTCTCACTGGCCACATAGGGACGGTGTGATTTGCTTGCTGGCACTGAAGGCCCACAAGATACCTGAGCAGAAAGATGGCGTCAATCACCAAGATGGGAACTCCCTCGGAGCAATTCTGCAACAGGTAGCCAATCTGAATCCTAAGGGCCTCTCGTTTACCGTAAAGGATTATGTTTTTAAAGAGATTCAAAGAGACTGACCTGGATACAGTGAAATAAACAGTCATTAGAGTCAGTGCTCTGGAGAAAGCTGAATCTATCACAGAACGCTGCCAGCACCAGCCATTCAGAATCTCCTGCATGTTCTAGTAGCAATGCTGCATCTTCTCCTCAGATATGGCTTTTGGATTCAGATTTCATTGATCCTTTAATGAATAAAAAATCTCAAAGACCTCACCTGACAAAAAGAATGCCTCCAACGTTAAATTGCCCTTTGAATCCCACCCATGAAAAATCTGCTGCAGGCCCCCTGCCGCCCCCTGCAGCTGCTGCCATCCCTACCCCTCACTACTGCCTTCAACCCACCTGCCCGTCTCCAATCCTCCTCAAACTAAATTCTCACTCTAATTCCCCTAGAACTCAAGAAGGCCAGGGGACTCAAGACCTACCTTTTAACAGTTTTAGTCAAAACAGTAGTATATATGAGGACAGGCAAGACAAATACTCTTCTAGAACTTCTCTGGAAACATTATCCCCTGGTTCAGTTCTACTAAAGTGCCCAAAGCCTATGGAAGGAAACCATTCAGTCTCACACGAAGTCCAAAAAAGTCTAAAAAACAGAAGGAAAAAGGCCCAATTAAAAAACACAACATTGCAACAACTGAAAAAACGAAGAGGACCTTAAAGGAGAAGAAGGAATTGCCAAGCTGAACGACTTCAGTCCAGTTTCCAATGAAGGAGTTAAAGAAGGTTGTACTGACTCTTTGGAGCCTTCTTCAACAATTGCACTCCTAGATTATTTGATAAAATATATTGCTATCGTCTCCTCTGAGCAATGCCAGAATTACCCAAGGATGACTTCAATACTGAGTTTGATGAGTATAGACAGGGCCTTGTGTGCCAGGATGGAGACTGTAGGTAGAAGATTTATGAAACTGGATGCCCAACAAAATCAGCTTTATCCGAGCTCAAAAGACAATCAGAATGTTCATGAAGAAGTCTTACAAGAATATCAGAAGATCAAGCAGTCTAGTCCCAGTTATCATGAAGAAAAATATATATGCAATCAACTTCATAACCAGCTGGCTCACCTCAAAAAAAAAAAAAAAAAAAAAA